TTACTTAAATTAATTGAAATATCATCATTAATAACATTATTATTATTATTTGTAACAAATTTCTTCATTCCAAAAAATCTAGTAGATTTTATACCAGACATGTATTGGTTAACTTCATTATCCATAATTTCTTTAATAATTGTTTCATATTCCAAATTTAATTCACCAAACATTTCTTCGAGAATTGGAAATAAAACCGGTTTTAGTGATCGACTCAAACCGATTACATTTTCTCTTGCCTAAAAAAAAAAAGTTTTATATATGAAGTTCATCAATTTTTTTTTTCTTTGTATGATCTTTATTTATCGTTATCGGAATTTTTATATATTAATCATAAAAGGAAATTTTTTTGATGTTTGTTTACTTACTAATTCTCCTATTAGTCCTCCCCATCGTCCCAATGGCGTAGATTCTTGCTTTTTTTCAAGATTAGTAATATTTTGTATATCGGTCATTAACTGTGGTATGTGTGGACATATTAGTGCATTTATTCCTTGTGATTTTAGATACATTTGTGCTTATTAACGCGAAATATCGATTGATGATAAAGAGCATTAGATAAGATTATACAGTACGAATAGGGTAAATAGAATAAATAAAATAGAGTAAATAAATAAATCTTGCATTTTTATTTATTTGTTTATTTAAAAAATCCGGTCAATTCCGGGTTTTAAAAAAAAAAAAACTGGATCAATATGGTACATACCTGCATCATTAACACGCGATGAAATTGGTCCTTCGCTATCAAATTGCAAATCACATTCCATCAATTCAATCCAGCCACCAGGTTTTGTCACTCTAACAAGTTCTGTAAGTAACATTGGCCATTGTTTTTCGGTTAATGCTAATCCCATAAATCGTTGGTATACAAAATCAAAAGTATTATCTTCGAACGGAAGACCATCTAATATGTTCATATGATAAAATTGGACATTTCGTGGTTTAATGTTTGTTGGAAAAACCAGTGAAAAATCAATTCCAATAAACGAAGTTGACGTGTATTCGCTCGCCATTTCGAGAACCCAAGTAGCTGGACCACACCTTTAATTTATATGAAAGTGGTTGATAAAAAAAAAAAAAAATTATACTAATCATATAATACTGTATAACATTTTAAAAATTACCCGATATCCAACACATGCGCGCCGCCGGCTCTAAGAATTTCTTCAACAGGTGAAGAGTAATTTCCACCCCAAGCATATCTAAACAAATAATGTTGAGTTTGTAATCGATTTATTTCCTCATCATCATTCGGTAATGGATATCTTGAATTCTCATAATTATGATATCTTCTTCCATCAATATATTTAAACAAACTTGGAAATTGTGTACTGCTCGCCGATTTGGTGATAGGATGTGGTGAACGTTTTTGAGGATAACAACTACATCTAAACCATATGGCTTTCAATCTATTAATAAAAGAACCTTTTGATCTTTCTTTTACTTCTTTAATATTATCTTCATCGTCGTAATCTCTTTGTTTTTTTATACAGTTACCCATTATTCTATCTTATTTTATTTTATTTTTTTAATATTGTTATTTATTATTAATAATAAATTTTTTTTTAAATATTCACAAAAGAATGAAAAGAAAAGAATATGTGAAATTTTTACTATCTTTTTATATTTGATGGCAAACAATAATATAATAAATTGGAACATTTTATTGATCGCAGATTTTTGGAATCGGTATGAATAGTTTGTTAGATAAGTATAGTATAGCTTAGTATATATTTATATATAGTAAATATATAAATACTATATATAGTAAATTTATTTTTTATTAAAATAATCTATTTTTATTTTTTAAATAAACTTGTTTAAAATAAAATTTTATATATAATTGTAATTTTAAAATTAATAAATATTTTTTTTTAATAAAGTTATATAAAAGATATACAATATTTATAAGAAAATTACTAATTTTAACTAAAGAAATTTTCTTTATATGATATAAAATATTTTAAAAATTCATTTATAAACTCACTTTTTGGGTTTTATCAAAAATTTTTTACTAATTTTTATATATATTAATACTTAAATAAAATTCTAAATTATATCTTAACTCTTAAGTAAAAAAAAAAGTTTTTTTAAAATATAATTTATTTTGTTTATTTTAAAACTAGTAATTTTTTTTTTTATTCTCTTTTTATAAAATTTTAAAAATTATATAAGAGTTTTTTATCTTCTTTTTTTTAATATATTTAATAATAAAGTTTAATTTTTTTTTACTTAGATAGTCTTGTACTTTACTTATTAAAAGAAAATATATAAAATATTATAATAAAAATATAAACTAAACTAATCTAGCTATAAAACTATTCTTTTTATTTAATTCTAACTTATTTAGCTACCTAAAGTACTTAGATATAATCTGCTAAAATAGCAGATTTTCTTCTCAAAAGAATAAATTATTTAAGTAAAGTTATTTTCTAAAGATTTACAAAAGACTATTATGCATCTATATTAAGATTATCTAATTATTTTTGAAACTTAACTAACTATTCATCATTTCTCCTACAATTTACTTATTAATTTTGTTTTCATCTTCTTTTTATATTCTTTTTTTTTTAACTTATTTTGATTTTTTAAACTTCTTTTTTTTTTTTTTTTTACTTATTAATAAAAGCAATTTGCAAGAAGATCTACACACACTCTCTCCTGACCACATAACGTTAGGCTCGAGAGTAAAAACTTTTTACAAAATATCTAATACTAAAGAAACTAAAACTATTTTTTTTAACAGAACTCAGGCTTTAGCCCTAGTTCCAAAGAAATGTAAACTTTGGTGCCTAGAAAATATAAGAAACAAAAAAATTATGCTTCATGATAGCTCGCAAACGAGTAATAGCAACAAAGAAAATCTACACTCTACTACAAGTATTAGCAAAAAAGATACGAGTATTAATTACTCTAAACAAAAAAAACTACTAACTAACTCCTCTAACTAGGATGAACAACTAAGTCAAGAACTTGAAAAAAGAAAAACTAACATGTCCTAAGAAACAGAAAAAAACAAGAATAATGAAAACAAAACAACAGATGAAGGAACATGTGATATTATACAAAATAATACTAACGTGACCAAAACAACAGACACACATATTAATTCAACAAATGAATCTCTTTTAGAAACATCTGCAAGCACTCTAAGTCTACAAGAGACCCCCAAAAAATCCTGGTCTAGCCTGTTTGCTAAGGATAAAAGGAGCCAATTTACTTTTACTTCTTATTCTCTAAGAAGCACTATTAGATCCAAAAATAATAATGCCTTAGTACTAGATATTAACAGCCTTAAAAACTGCTCTAAAAATAATATTATGATATCTCTTTATGATAATGTGGGGAGTGATATAGTAGCAGCAAAACCACATATTAACAGAGGAGCTCGTACTCACTTAGAAATTATCTTTATGAACAAAGAAAAATTACAAGAATATGCAGTTAAAAGAGTAGATATCTTTAACAAAACATATCTTAGCTCTATTCCTACAGATAATAGAAGGTCTTTTCTTCCAGTCAAAATTAGAAATATTCCTTTACAAGAAAAAAACTTAGTCTCTGAAGCTATCAAAGAGGCCTTCGAAGATGTAGGAAAAATTGCTTTGATCAAACTACTCTTAATAGAAGAAACTCCTTATCTAACTGACCAATAGGTTATTATTTTTGATACTACAAATAACCCAGACCTAGAAAAAAGAATCTCTCGTTTTTACATTTTGTTAGAAAACAAAATCACTACAGAATAAAAATCAGCTCCAAAGGTCTGCTTTTTCTGTGACAGAGAGAGTCATATCAAAAGAGATTGTGAACAACATCAAGAAGCTTTAGCACTTCATTGTCATTTTAAGGAGTACCAAAGAAATAAGAACAAAGAAAAAACCTCAGAACTTATCTCTAACCCATTGGTTGAAGAAACTACATCAGCTTTTTCATCCTCAACCCAAGGAATATGTATAGATGAACATCCTAAAAACTCTGCTACAGAAGAGCAACAAGACACTTTCAGGACTAATAAAAATAATAATACTCATAGCAGTATATTAAAAAGAACAAAGGATATGATTCTAAATACTAAAAATCCAAATATGAGAAAAAATTCAGAAACTCAAAATGCAGACTTAACAAGCAATTCTACTTCTAACAAAGAAACAGTACAAGAGGTAACTTCTCCTATGGTTATTATCGATAACAATAACTATGAACTGCAGGAACCTGACCATTCAGAAGGAGAATACATAACTGCTACTAATAAAAGAAAAAAAGATAAAAAGAAAGTATCTGCACAAAAACAAGAAGAAACCAGAACTGCTCCTTACAAGAAAAAAACTCGTAACGAGAGCCAAAATGTACAGATCTAAAATTTTACTTCAAATCAACTCTTATACTTAAAAACTCAAAGATAAAAATTAGAACTCTAAACATTAAAGGACTGAACAATCAACAAAAACAAAGAAATACTTTTACTCTTCTTAAGTCTTATAATTTAGATATTATAATG